CCCCACCACCACCCCCCACCACCACCACCACCACCACCACCCGCCCCACTCGGAACGTGACGTTGGAGCTTCGTCCGACGAAACCGTACGATGACGATGAGGACGACTGGAGCCCGATCTCCCAGCTCCTGACATGCGCAGCGACATCTTCCCAGCTGCTGCCCCCGTACCCGCAACCCGCCTCGGACGATCGCCGCCACGAGTCGCCGTCGTATCCGCAACCTCGCCCGTATCTGCAAGCCGAGCCTAACGATCACCGCCAGAGTTACACGTGCCCTCAAAGCTCCTCCCGGTATCCGCCTCCTCCCGCATATCCGCACTTTGACCCGCTCGGCGACGCAGCCGACCATTCGGATGGCAGCCTTCCCCTTGGCCCCTCCCCCTGGCCCCTGGGGGGAGGCGTGGGGGAGGGGCCGACCGATGGAAGACGCCACTTCCTGTCGCCCACAGGAAGCGGCGGTTGCTATGGGCGCGTCGTGGTTGCCGAGGCGAACGCAGAAGCAGCAGCAGAGGATGCTGGGAAGAATCCTCCCCGGCGTGACCTCTTTGACCTCCTCAGTTCGGTGCGTGTGCTGGGCTGTAGCCAGTAGCGGGCGCTGGACAGAGGTCGCAACCGGGTACCTGATACCCGTACCCTACACGATACCCGTACCCTACCCGGCTACCCGTACCCTACCCGATGCCCGTACGATACCCTACCCAATACCCGTACCCTACACGATACCCGGCTACCCGTACCCTACCCGGCTACCCGTACCCTACCCGGCTACCTGTACCCTACCCGGCTACCCGTACCCTACCCGGCTACCCGTACCCTACCCGATACCCGTCGATACCCTACCCAATACCCGTACCCTACCCGATACCCGGCTACCCGTACCCTACCCCGCTACCCGTACCCTACCCGGCTACCTGTACCCTACCCGATACCCGTCGATACCCTACCCAATACCCGTACCCTACCCGATACCCGTACCCCACCCGATACCCGTACCCTACCCGATACCCGTACCCTACCCGATACCCGTACCCTACCCGATACCCTACCTACCCGTACCATACCCGATACCCGTACCCTACCCGATACCCGTACCCTACCCGATACCCGTGCCCTACCCGATACCCGTGCCCTACCCGATACCCGTACCCTACCCGATACCCGTACCCTACCCGATACCCGTACCCTACCTGATACCCGTACCCTACCCGATACCCGTGCCCTACCCGATACCCGTGCCCTACCCGATACCCGTACCCTACCTGATACCCGTACCCTACACGATACCCAGCTACCCGTACCTGTACCCTACCCGTACCCTACCCGTACCCTACCCGATACCCATTACCCTACCCGATACCCGTACCCTACCCTATACCCGGCTACCCGTACCCTACCCGATACCCGATACCCGTACCCTACCCGATACCCGTACCCTACCCGATACCCGATACCCGTGCCCTACCCGATACCCGTACCCTACCCTATACCCGGCTACCCGTACCCTACCCGATACCCGTACCCCACCCGATACCCGTACCCCACCCGATACCCGTACCCTACCCGACACCCGTACCCTACCCGATACCCGTACCCTACCCGATACCCATACCCCACCCGATACCCGTACCCTACCCGATACCCGATACCCGTACCCTACCCGATACCTGTACCCTACCCGATACCCGTACCCTACCCGATACCCGATACCCGTACCCTACCCGATACCTGTACCCTACCCGATACCCGTACCCTACCCTATACCCGGCTACCCGTACCCTACCCGATACCCGTACCCTACCCGATACCCGGCTACCCGTACCCTACCCGATACCCATACCCTACCCGATACCCGTGCCCTACCCGATACCCGGCCGGGTACGGGTACCCATTTGCGTTTGCGGAACGTGGAGAAACCAGTGGCATATACATTTGCAGAATGTGAAGAACCAGTGGCATCTACAGAACATTTATAAACCAGTGGCATCTACAGAACATTAAGAACCAGTGGCATCTGCAGAACGTGAAGAACCAGTGTCATCTACAGAACGTTAAAAACCAGTGGCATCTACATTTGCAGAATGTGAAGAACCAGTGGCATCTACAGAACATTTATAAACCAGTGGCATCTACAGAGCATTAAGAACCAGTGGCATCTGCAGAACGTGAAGAACCAGTGACATCTACAGAATGTTAAGGACCAGTGGCATCTACATCTACAGAATGTTAAGGACCAGTGGCATCTACATCTACAGAATGTGAAGAACCAGTGGCATCTACAGAACATTTATAAACCAGTGGCAACTACAGAGCATTAATAACCAGTGGCATCTGCAGAACGTGAAGAACCAGTGACATCTACAGAACATTAAAAACCAGTGGCATCTACATCTCCAGAACCAGTGACATCTACAGGACATTAAGAACCAGTGACATCTACAGATCATGTAAGAGCCAGTGACATCTACAGAGCATTAAAAACCAGTGACATCTACAGAACATTAAGAACCAGTGGCATCTACATCTACAGAACATTAAGAACCAGTGTCATCTGCAGATCATTAAGAACCAGTGGCATCTACATCTACAGAACATGAAGAACCAGTGGCATCTACAGAACATTAAGAACCAGTGACATCTACAGAACATTAAAAACCAGTGGCATCTACATCTACAGAACGTGAAGAACCAGTGGCATCTGCAGAACGTGAACTAGAGGCATCTGCGTCTACAGGAGATTAATAACCAGTGACATCTGCAGATCATTAAGAACCAGTGGCATCTACATCTACAGAACATTAAAAACCAGTGACATCTACAGAACATTAAGAATCAGTGACATCTGCAGATCATTAAGAACCAGTGGCATCTACATCTACAGAACATTAAAAACCAGTGACATCTACAGAACATTAAGAATCAGTGACATCTGCAGATAATTAAGAACCAGTGGCATCTGCATCTACAGAACGTGAAGAACCAGTGGCATCTACAGAACGTGAACTAGCGGCATCTGCGTCTACAGGAGATTAATAACCAGTGACATCTGCAGATCATTAAGAACCAGTGGCATCTACATCTACAGAACATTAAAAACCAGTGACATCTACAGAACATTAAGAATCAGTGACATCTGCAGATCATTAAGAACCAGTGGCATCTACATCTACAGAACATTAAAAACCAGTGACATCTACAGAACATTAAGAATCAGTGACATCTGCAGATAATTAAGAACCAGTGGCATCTACATCTACAGAACGTGAAGAACCAGTGGCATCTGCAGAACGTGAACTAGCGGCATCTGTGTCTACAGGACATTCTAGAACTTTGAAAGCCGTTCCCTCCCATGTTGAGTGTCCAGGCAGACCTCCTGAAACGCCCAATTTGTACGTGGAGGAGAGAGAGGAATTCCCTCACATCTCCTGTTGTGAGCGATGCTGCACTTGCCCCTACAGCCTGCTTGGAGGCTACACGGGTACTTGGTCTACTCTTCCACCACGGCCTCGACCATGGTGGAAGAGTAGGCCAAAGTACAAAGGTCTCGGTTGGGGGGGTGGGGGTGGTGGTGCCTATGCTTGACCCCACCACAGACTCGCTGGTGTTCATTTAATCACGATTGTTGACGTGATTACGTAGCATAGATGGTGTCGTGATGGTGGTGATGATGGTGATGGTGATGATGGTGATGATGATGCTGGTGATGATGGTGGTGATGATGATGGTGGTGATGATGGTGATGATGATGATGGTGATGATGATGGTGGTGATGGTGATGATGATAGTGATGATGATGGTGATGATGATGGTGATGATGATGGTGATGATGCTGGTGATGATGATGGTGATGATGATGGTGGTGATGATGGTGATGATGATGGTGGTGATGATGGTGATGATGATGGTGGTGATGGTGATGATGATAGTGATGATGATGGTGGTGATGATGGTGATGATGATGGTGATGATGCTGGTGATGATGATGGTGATGATGCTGATGATGCTAGTGGTGATGATGCTAGTGATGATGGTGGTGATGATGGTGATGATGCTGGTGATGGTGATGATGATGATGGTAATGATGATGGTGATTATGGTGGTGATGATGGTGATGATGATGCTGGTGATGATGCTAGTGATGATGATGCTTGTGATGATGGTGATTGTGATGGTAATTATGATGAGAGTGATTGTGGTAGTAGTTATGATGCTAGAGATGATGATGCTAGTGATGAGAGTGATGATGATCCTAATAATTATGATGATGATGGTGATTATGTTAGCAATTTTGATGATGATGGTAGTGATGGTTGTAATTATGATAATGATGATGGTGATAGTCGTGATGGTTGTGTTGTAAATAACAGATGAATAAACTCCTTTTAAGTCACAAACTGGTTCATTGTCTTTCTTCCGACACAGTCCCTACACACACACGGAGGAATTTCGATTTAAAGCTTCTTTCGTGACTGCAGGGATTCATCTTCTTGGTTCTT